ATTTTATGATTGCACCATATCGATGAGTGACAAAATTTAAACTTTATAATTTATCCGCCTACTTGCTTTGCTACTATGGTTAAATAAGGTAATGTCTAATGTTATCACTGATCTCATCGACTGCTTGCGAGACTTTGCTTATCGTTATTTTCCCTATGAAACTGTCACGTGTAGATAAAATTTAAACTGTCACGTGTAGATAAAATTTTAAGAGATGGATTATTTCATCGGATGTCTTTTTTTTTTTTTCTTCTTATGCTATGAAAGGAATGTCTACACGAATATTATTTGGCTGTTTAAGGGTTTTGAAATCAAATAAGAACTTTACAAATGTGGCTCTTAGGTCTGCTCTACGGAGAAGGCCAACAGGGTTGGATTCAGATATTCGACTATGTTAGTTTTGTTCACGAGATTGATTTTATTTTACTTAACCATAAGTATCAAAATGTTTTAATTCTTTAATTATATTCTTAAAGCTTGTGGCCACACCTTCTTCAACATCCGTACGTACACAGTTGAGAGCTTATTGAAACCAAAAAAATATGAAGACATATCCGCAATGGAAGCAGAGCAAGAAGTATTTGAGGAAGATAGTTTAAAGAATGTTGCTAAAGAGGAATATGTTCCCGCTCGTTTCGACGAGATTACTGAAATTTTACCCAAAACTCAAAGAGCATTAAGGGAGGAATTCAGATATGTTACTATGTCGAAAGTTCAAGATGCCGTATTATCACAAGCTCCGATCGAAGGTGATTTATTTGTTAAGGCGAAAACAGGAACCGGCAAAACTCTGGCTTTTCTTATACCGGCAATAGAGACAATGAATCGTAAATCTAAAAATAATGATGGCAGAATGGTTTCAATTATGATTCTATCTCCGACTCGTGAATTGGCTCAACAAATTGCAACTGAAGCAGAAAGGCTAACGCGCTTTTATAATTACAAAGTTCACTGTTTAGTAGGAGGTGAAAAAAGGGATATCCAAATTAGAAAGTTAACGCGTTATAGAGCTGATATAGTCGTTGGTACCCCTGGAAG